TTATGTAAATTCTTTTCTTTAGTTTTTCAAGTTTGATTAGTTTCCAAGTTTCAATTATGGTTTTTGTTCTTATTCATTATGCTTATAAGTTAATATGCTAGTTTGAATGATTGATCACCATTTAGGCTTGCATGTTAGCTATCTTGGTTTGAATTAAGAGTATACACCATGCTTTAATTCGAATTGAACTATGAATAAGAAGAGTACGTATGGACATTCGACAACAGGGATTAGATACATGCTTGGTTGTTTAAATTGTTCTTCTATGCTTAATGGGTTCCTAATGCTTAATTTTAGGTTAGACAACAAATTATCAAATTAGGGAATTAGGAACACAAGGTTATGACCAAACACCATGGCTTAATCATACTTTAGCTAGAATCAATCCATTAATCTAATTGAACTTGGGAACTTATCTGCTTGAGTTAGTTATTTCTTTCTTCCTTGTTTTATTTATTTCCTTTCTTTTTCATTTCTGTTTTGTGTAGGAAAAATGAATTGGATCATTCAATCACCAATCCTCGTGGGATCGACCTCGCACTTACATATGCTATACTACCAAACGGCTCGTGCACTTGCGAGTATCACAAGTTGAGGATGCAACTGAATCCATTTTGGTGCAGCTGTATCTACGCAACAGTACTCTTTCCTACCCCAGGATTTGTTTCTCTGGGAACTTTTTAACAAGATCGTCGTTAAGATGCTAGTTCTTACCATGTAATGTTCCTTTCAGTTTAATGTAATACCATCTTTTCTTTAAAAACAAACAAAACAAAACAAAAACAAAAAAACAAAAAAACAAAAAAACAAAAAAAAAAGCAGCCCATTTTCCCCCTCCTCCCTTCCCACCCCCACCATGTATATACTTTCATAGGATTTTTTGAGACAAGTTTACTAATTCGTAATTGGAATCGAATAAGGAGTTGAATCCCTCTTACGAATACTCATGTGTTTACTTCACATGGAGTAATTAAAATACAAGTACGACCCGCACAAAATCAAGACTTTAAGTCTTAATTTTGGAGGAATTGTACTCTTGGGTGGGAGGTGGTATTCTAATTCCTGAAGAATTAAACCATTAGGAATTCATCTTTTTTATCCATTATATCCTCACACAATTCTAATATTCCAAAATTTTCATTTACTTTAACCCAACAACGAGGGCATTTTAGTAATCAATTTGGTTTTAATTCCAATTCATGGGAATTTAGTAAACAATTTATAAGGAATTAGTACCGCTCCTACCTTAATTCCATAGGGTTTAGTTAACAACTTCAATAGGAATCTGGATTCTAACTCTCCTCAACCCAACTCCTTCTCAATTCAATTCCTCCTAATCCGATTACGGATTAGTAAACATGTCTAAGAGGAGTTGAATATATGATGAACATGGGTGGGCATCTCATCTGAAAAATTCGTGTACCGACTGTATCATACTGACAATTTGGTTTAGTTCGGTTAAATTATTATTATTATTATATTTTTAATTCTTCTAATATGATTCGTACTGAAACGTTTGGTTAAAAGATCGGGTAACAATATCCCTAACTCAACATAAATTTGTATTGAACCGATATTTATATTTAATTTATTTTTTAAAATACTAATATACGTGTCAACTTATTAGTGGTTGGATAGCTACCATAATGTGGACAACTAGGAGAAGTGACTACAATGAAAACTTCTTCTCATAACACGAAAATTCTGTGGTGCATTGGCTATACCGGTACAGCCATCTATCCAAGGGCTGAGTTTGCATGTTAAAAATGGAAGGCTGAGATTCAATGACTTAGTAACTTTTTGAGCCCTTTGTTATTCAACACATGAGTCGCATGTGACTCTGAGAAAGGCAGGTTTGGAGGATGAAGACAACGCGCGCTCTCCTCTCTAGTTGCCCAAATTAAAAATCCTAAGCGCCTCCAGGAACTCATCTCTCTGCTTGCCCAAATCCAATCCTTAGCGCCTCCAGGAACTCTTCTCTCTGCTTGCCGACGAACTCTTTTCTCTTTGCTTCGCCAGGAACTCTTCTTTCTCACTTGCCCAAATCCATCCTAAGCGCGTCCAACTCTTGTCTGTGCTTGGCCAAAACGCATATGCAAGAAGCTAATGCTCACCGAATTGAGGTCGTCCATGAGAAAACCCAAGCTGACGCTGGTGACTCTGCCTAAGCAAGTTCCTCAACTCTTCTCTCTACTTGCCCAAAACTCATCTGCAGATATTGAATTGATGGTGGGTCTAACCTCCATGATGTAATGGTCACCAAATTGGAAGAATTTAATTTAGTTTGCTCTGTTGGAATTGTCTGATACAGAACTTCAATCTCGCACATTGAAGGGTGTCATCGGCCTGATATGAGATCAACCATTTCTTTATGTGTGTAGGAGCTTTGAAGCCCATTCCAGCGGGTACTACATTCAATCGATATATGAGGTGGGTAGGCGAAGAGTTTGACTGTTGATGACATCAGCGGAATGGATTTGTAATAACAACAAGGTAGTAAAGATTTCGAAGATCCTTGGTTGTTAACGAAGACATTTGAGTTGGTGGCGACAGGAAGTGTAATGAGGAGGTGTTGAAAATTTGGAAACATCAAATAAGAGTTCAAAGAACCCTATTTTTCTGGTTTAGGAGTTAAATGTATTTTGGGTAAAGAGTTGATGCAATTGCATGTTTTTGGTTGCGAAACAGTTATACGTGGGGCAATTATTAACCTGACTATGTGCAATTGCATGAGATTATTCATTTGTGTGTTTTGAAGAGAAAGTATGTTAGCACATAGATTATAATGTAATTTTAGTTTGAATTTATGTTTGTCAGGCTTGGAGTGGTCTGCTAAGATGGACAGGGGTGTAGAGACATCAAAGGGTGGTTGTAGTGATTCATGGTATCTGGGTGGTTGTGAAAGGTTGATTCACGGGGTATTGGCAACAGAGAGTGGGCATATGTTGGTCGAACATCCGGTTAGTCAAAGTAGTGATGATAATGATGTTGACATTATTGTACCGAGGAAAGAAGATGTTATGGGGAAAGAGTTTAAAACGATAGAATTAGTGGAAGAATATTATATGAGTTATGCAAAGGGCATTGGATTTTTCTTGAGAAAAGACAAATTTGTTCGTAATTCGGAAGGAAAGGTATGTAGGAGACGATGGTGTTGTTCTAAAGAAGGTTTGAGAAATGAGAAGTTTAATGATCGACCGGATAGGATTCGGCAACCAAAGCCAATTACAAGAGAGAATTGTCCTACCCATTTTTGGGTGGGTTATGAGAAGAAACGTGATACTTACGTTATTACAAATTTTGAACCACATCACATCATGAACTAGTTACTCCACTTGAATCGCCATATCTCCGATGTAACCGTGTTGTTCGAAATTCCTATTTAGCACAAGCAGTGGGAATGCAAAGAGCATTAGTTAGAACATATCATACATATGAGTATGGTTGACCAATGTGGCTGGTATTTAAATGTTGGTTTTCAAATAAAGGATCTGTACAATAAGTTGGATGCATCACGCAAGGAAATTTTGCTCGACGATGACACAGAAGCCGCACTCTCTTACTTGAAAGCGAAAGGAGCAATGGATCCATAATTCTTTTGTAAGTTTAGTGTTGACGAGGAAAATAGGCTTGGTAATTTGTTTTGGAGGGACTCCACTTCACTTTTGGATTACATTGCTTATGGCGACGTCTTCATATTCGACAACATGTACAAAATAAATATGTATGACAAGCCCCTAATGTTGTTTGTCGGTTCCAACAACTACTGTTCTATTGTAATGTTTGGTTGCACATTATTGCATAACGAGACATTTGAAACTTACAAGTGGTTATTGAAAACATTCATGACATCCATGAAAGATAATAAGCCAATATCAATATTGACGGATGGTGATGAGGCGATGCATAAAGCCATTGATGATGTGTTTGACATATCTAACCATCGGTTGTGCTCATGGCATGTGTCAAGGAATGCATGTAATAACTTGAAGGATGATGAATTCCTAAGAAATTTTCAGGCATGTATTTGGGAACCATTTGCATTAGACGAGTTTGAGAAGAAATGGGAGGTTTTGAGGGAAAGAGCGAGTACTCCGAAACAAAAAGAATGGTTGAAAATGATGTATGCAAAAAGAGACTCATGGGTTGAATCATGTCTTAGAGAAAAAAATTTCGGCGGTATGTGCACTGCTCAACGCATGAAGTCCATGAACAAGTATTTGAAGGATTACTTGAGGAAAGGCGTGAAGTTGTTTGAATGTATTCCAGCAATTGATAGGGCTATGTTACGTCTTAGGAATACCACGGCAAAGGATGGTTTCAACGAAAAGTACTCAACACCAATTTTTAAAATCGCATTGACAAAACTCAAGCAACAAGCTTCTTTGATTTACACGCATAGGTGCTTTGTATTGATACGTCATGAGATCGAATCTTGTTCAGCACTCACCTATGATAAGGTGATGTATAATTTTGGAGGTCGTGTATACGTATTGTCAAAATATGGTGAATCGCATAATATGGTGTTTACCACGGTGGGGAAAATATGCGGATAGAGTGTGGATGCCGGAAATATGAAAGTGAAGGGATCCCGTGTTGCCACCTATTTTATGTAATGAAGTGCGAGCACCTTACGGAAATTCCTCCATCACCCATAATGAAGAGATGGACAAAAGTGCCCGAAGTGAAGACACTACCAACGAAGTTTGTAGAAATGGAGAGGTATGGAAGTTTAAGTGCTATGTCAAACAAAGTTTGTTTTTATGCGTCGAAGAGTGCAGATGGTTATGCCATGTTGACGAATGAGTTTAGTAGATGGGAGGGAGTTTGTGAAGGCTTACGGCAAAAGGAAGAAGAGACAAGTCTGAAATTGGGTAGTGCTAGGCAATGTCCTCCAAATATTGTCAAAGATCCAAAGATCGTTAGGACAAAAGGCACTCAAGCAAGCTAGGGTGGAACGCGTAAACGTCGACAATGTCATTTGTGTCGCGGATATGGACATACAAAGCGTAATTGCTCTCAAAGAAACTTGCATCCAAGTAGAAATGCATATGTGAATATCCCTTCAGGTTGTCAAAGCTGTCAGTATAGTAACGAGAAAGGGCCGTCCCCGGAGATTAGCTACAATTATGATAGTCAAACAGTTTCTCAATGCAAAGGCAATTATGTGGTTGATTTGTCTGGTTCTGATAGTTTTTCTACTACAAACCCAACCAATTCTACCCCCAACAGTGACAATGGTTTCTCATTTGACAATGGTGAACCTATCTCCCTATCTACTGGTTCAACCCAAAACAATTGTAGTTTTGGAACTTGGTTTACATGTAACAATTAACATTAAATATAGATTTAGTGATGGACAAGATGCTTTCATATGATTGATATATTATTGTTTTATGTATGTATTGTTGAGAAACGATTTTATGACTTCTATGGGGTGCTTGGATGGAAGTTTTACGTAGGCGGCGGTCATCCGAAATACGTAGCATCAGAAAGGGTAAGGGGCAATTATTTGAACATATTAGAATCGGTAAAGACCAATTATCTGAAAATACTTAGTATTAGAAAATTGTTGGCCCCAAAGTGCGAATTACATTCCCAAATATACCCAATTTCGTAAACCATAATTGGTTAATCCTATTTTTTAATCATATCCATAGGCTCATAATGAAATGGTTACTTGTATTTGTTTGTCTTTGCTATATACATTCATTAGCTTCATGTTTATGGTCTTAACAGTTTTGCCCACAGTCGGTCGGCATTTGCATTGCAAACATGCAATTGCATGACGGTGATGCAATGCAAGAGTGATTGTGCGCAAACGAAAATAAGAAAAATGGATTATATTTTATTGTACAGGCATAATTAGACATTTTTTTTTACTATAAATCGAAGAGCGAAATTAACCGAAATACAGAGCATGAGAAACGGTAAGGGGAAATAATCCTAACATATTATATTACAAAACCACCAATTATATGAAAATTACCTAGTACTAGAAATTGTCATGTAGTGCGAATCACATTCCACAATATCCCAAATTTCATAAACCAAATTGTGATTAACCCTAATATTTAATAATAGACATAGGGTCATAATAAAGCAGTCACTTGCTTTTCTTTGTCTTCGTGCTATACATTAATTAAGTTTGCATTTTTAAGCTATGTGGAGTTTGCCCACAGGTGGGTAGCGTTTGCATAACACACATGCAATTGCACTACGATGATGCAATATGCAAGAGTGATTGTGCGCAAACCCCTAATAAAGAAAAATGGATCATATTTAATTGTACACGCATAATTAGACAAATTTTTTACCATCAATCGAAGGGCCCTATTATCCGAAATACAGAGCATGAGAAACGGTAAGGGGCAATAATCTGAACATATTATATTACAAAACGACCTATTATACGAAATTACATAGTAATAGAAATTGTCATGTAGTGCGAATTACATTCCAAAATATCCCGAATTTCGTAAACCAAATTGTAATTAACCATAATATTTGATAATAGACATAGAGTCATAATAAAGTACTTACTTGCTCTTCTTTGTCTTTGCGCTATACATTAATTAGGTTTGCATTTTTAAGCTATGTGGAGTTTGCCCACAGGCGGGTAGCGTTTGCATAATACACATGCAATTGCACTACGGTGATGCAATGCAAGAGTGACTGTGTGCAAACCCTAATAAGGAAAAATGGATCATATTTTATTGTACACGCATAATTAGACATTTTTTACTATTAATACAAGGGCTCTATTATCCGACATACAGAGCATGAGAAACGGTAAGGGGCAATAAACTGAAAGTTTATTACAAAACGGAGCAATGATTTGAAAAATTTAATCGTATCCATAATTTAATTGGTTTTCTTTCTCTTTGGGGTACGTGAATGAACACTTTTATCACCTTTGCATTTTTGGTCTGTGGAGTGTTGTTCTGCATTCGGATTACCCTTAGCTGCGGCCCCTCTCCTCATCCTCATCCCCAACCTCTTGCTCTTCGATCCAAGCTTCATCTTCGTCTTCCTCTTGTTCTTCCTCTTCCTCATCTTCTTCCTGCTCTTCTGGTACCACAATTTTGGTCTTTCATTTTCTAACTATGTCATGTTTAAATTTTGAGCGAAACTCCTACATACAGGGAAACATTGAGATATATAAATAATCAATTTTGTTGTGCACACAAGTGATGATGATTTGCATTGCATAATTTAACATATTATTAAATATTGCAAAATTGAACATCTTATAAATCGAATAGGGCAATGGAGGTATCAAACTTACATGTACTACATCATCAGCTGACGTCTTGACCAATATCTTCACTTGCAATGGTTGTCCCATTGGTATTCTTCAATATCTCCTATTACAATATAACATTGTTCATGTTCATTATTGGTCTCTTATTTCAATATAACATCGGTGATGTTCGTTAATTTTATGAAATCACTATGAAATGAAGCTGAACTGACTTAGAATCTCTTGCCATAGGCGCCTGATCTCTATGCTTGCTTCCAATGATGTTGAAAATAGTAGGGCATTCAACCCAGCATTCAGCTCCAAAATCTCGGTTGCAGCTTCAGCTGTTACCTACATTCAGGCACATGCAATTACAACAATCACCACTGGAAGCCATCAATTAGGAATAAATTATACAAAGGAAACTATTTACATGCGTTACACCATCAGGTAATGGTAGATCATGTGAAACCCCATATTTTTTAATATTTCATAAAATTAAATATTTACAATTATTAATCTCCAAAAAACTATATATTTACAGTTTTGCTTACTAAGCATTGTTGATGACTAACGTGTTGCAATGTCGTGTCCTCAAAATCCATTAAAGCTTGAGGTGTAAGAATGATAGTTATTCCTGTATATATAAATTTGATAGGAGAGTGCTCACTAAGCACTCTACCAAGCCAACGCAAAAGGCTATTTGGGAGTCTAGGAACCTATAGACTAATTAGGTGGCACAACATTAAGCTTCATCAAACCTACACTCCACCAATCACAAACCATCAAGTTGCCGCCTTTCACTACTATAAATAGGGACCAATTCCTTTAACTTGTTTTAAACAGCATGCATAGTAATGCATGATAGAAAGAAGAAGAAAATATTAGAAAGTGTAAACAAGAAATTTGTTGAAGGAACTCGAGGTGTTTTGAACTTGCAACTGGGAGTTACGCAATAGCTTTGGATTTGATGTAGGGGTTCTTTCTTGGGGAGGTTTTGCATAAATTGATTTAATTAAATATTGTGAACACTATATTATGCTTGGTAATATTGTTTGATTATTATCCTTGATATTGGATGTTTACATGATTATCAATTATCATTATAATTTGATTAATATTGACATGTTCATATGTTGTCGGCGGTGGTTGGAATTTTTGGGTTGATAACGAAATTATGGAAAAGAGGATAATGGGAAGAATCTTTTGTGTAGTTGAGTCTAACCATTGTAGGGACCAAGTTCAGGCGAGCCCGTGTGCACAGTAGATTAGGAAATTGGCGGTATAATTGTCGATTGGGTGATTTGGGCTTGGAGATCAATGGTATCGACAAGATGACTAGCAAAAGGGGAATTATGGCATGATTGAAATGGGTGTTAGTTTATATAATGGGGCATTCGGAATCACGGTGGTAAAATGCATGGTATGGGACATGCAGATTTGCTTGCCCTATTATATAGATTAACGGGTTGGGAAGAATTGAAGTTCATTCATACATTGCATAAATTGTACATTTAAAATCTCACTAATCATATAGGGCCCCTACTGAGCATGTAATGCTCACCCCTTAATGAATTTATTGCAGGTTTTGAATCTGAAGTTTAGTTGTGACAAGGAAACAAGAAGAATGAGTTGCAGATAGTTTTGGATGTTTTGTTAAGAGTCTGTATTTTATTGAAATTTTGCTTGTAAAATTACAATGTAAATTACTTTGGTTTAAATAGAAGTTTTATGTTTAATTCTCAAGTTTCTTGCTATTTAAATTTTGTAATTTTAGTTTTTCTTTTCTTTTACGTCACACTCTCAATAAATAAGTAAATAAATTGGGGTGTGATAGATCAGCACTATCTTGTCCATGGGGTATCCGCACAAGTTTACTTCCATTATCGACGGCCCAACTTGGTATTCGGACTGACCATGCTTGAGGAGAGATGTTTCCAACCCTTCTATGTTGTCCTTCTTGTGGAATTGAGGTATCATGTTAGTTTTAAGAAAAAAAATTTCAATTTAATGTAGGAAGTGTAAATACATAACACGTGTTCAGTGTAGAACCTACCGCTTCATGTAAGTCCTCATAGTGGTGGTACCTTATGTATTCATCTCTGCAATGGGCATAGTCAGATGAATTTGCAAGCCATTCCGAAGCTGGGTACCTATTAAGTGCTTCCTCGACTTCTTACTCATCTGTGAGCTTATAATCGGAAAGCATTGTCCTCGGTGGAATTTTGGGTACTCGAGGTTCCGTGCTGCCTAAGCCTTGCATTGCGACTCGCTCTCCCAAATACCAGGAAGAACCAGCTGGTCCCTTCAGTA